ACCTGAAGAGCTCAGGAGAAACTCAGGGAAGAGGTTTGGAACAATAAAAACAAGCAAACAAAGAAACAAATTCATTTTTCAACCAACAAAACCCTTCATTTTTTGGCTTCTGAAAGAGCTACAATATTTGCATTGTCATTCTGAGACCTTTTCATAGCAACTTTCCATGACAAAAAATGGAAAACCTGTGACAAAACTGACAGTGAGATAAAAGCAAAACAATTATCTCTTGAGAGAAGAACTGGATCTGGATGATCTCAGCAATGGAGAAAGTCAGAGACACAGAGCATTACACACTTGAATGAACTCACGTTCTCCAGGCTTTTGTCTGCACAGCCCAAAGAGCCCCCACACCAATGCCAGTAAAAAAATAGGGGATGAGACTCTCTGGCTAAACACCCTGAATAGCAGCACTTTCTTAGGAAAAAAATCTAAAGGTCTGGCAAATCTATGTTCTAAAATAGGCCAAGTCTAGAATATTCATCGCATTTTATTTTTGCCAAACACTTGAATGTTTTAGATCCCTTAAAAAGTTCAAGGCTTAAGTAAAAGAAATACAACCCTGTTATCTCATGAAGAATAGGGTTTTTTTTACAGTAACAGGCTAAATTTCTCACAGTGTGTGCATAAGACAATGAGCATATTTTGGCTTGCCTTTTCCTATGCACCAAGGCAGTTCTAAGTACTTGCAAGTCCAAGCTTGCACACACCCATCTGTGAGCACTAAGCCTGCTTTGATCATTATTTCTGCTCCTGTCCACTGCACTGGGCCTGCCTTGCAGAAGTCAGCTGCAAAAATCTCTTTCCAATCAGCAGTAAAAGCAGGGAAGATGGAGGTAAGGGAGAATGCTGCCCCCAAAAAGCGCAGTTCAGGCAAGAAATAGAAATATTTCAAACTGGGAAGATGTCACTGCATCCCAAGCTTTATGTTGTTTGTGTGTGCCTGGCATTAGTAATTGGACTGAAAGCCACCTTGATTGCCTATGATTTAGCAGTAAATCAAGGCAGGACACGAAGCTTTCTTCTGAGTCATTGAGGGTTAGCTACCAGCTTCATTGCCTGCCAGATGCTCCCTTGCCTCGCCACAAAACCAGTTCTTTCCAACACATTATGCTACAGGAAAAAGGTTCCAAGAAAACACCCATGAGCCTGCATAAGACACCAAATTAGAAGAGCTGGTTTTCTCAGGCTCTCAGCTGTGGACCAAACCTTGCTGGACTATCCACTGACTTACAGAGTATCTCATTCCTCATGTCCTCTCAGTCCTTGCTGCTCAATCATGGGCTTCAAATCACACATACTAAAGCTCAGGTGAGTCACCAACATCGACAAAAACAAGATTAAGCCTGTTGTGTCCCATCTGCTTCGTGCTCAGAAAACCAGTTGCACAACTCCAGGACAGTGGAAGCCATAGAGTATCATGGAAAGAAGCCAATTTCCTTTTTGCTGTGTTCTCTGTTTGCCATCTTTCTTTCATTGCAAATTAATGTTGACAGTACTTCATGACTTTTTTTCTCGTCTGAGTTATTCTGTTTTTTAGGAAAAGCTCACCCCAACAATCTTTCCCACAAAAGTGTTGACTTGACTTCCTAGGACAATTCATAGACCAGAAAAGTAGCATGTTGCTTCTTTTCTTCTCAGCACTATGCGTGCTATTAAAATAATAATAATACTTAAAACTCTTCTACCAACTATTGTGCAACTGAACCACTGTGCAACAGAATATAATGGCTTTCATATATTTGACCTAAGTCGTTCCAGATTAAATGAGTTCTAGATACTTCCATTTCAAACTGGGAAACTGATTTCTGAGTCAAGGTCATACATCCACATAGAGAAACATCTGTGTCCTCTGCCTCATTAAATTAAGTAACTTCCAATCCCTAATGATATGACCCCTTCCCCTTCCTCAAGTAAACACACCCATTTGAGCTTTGGACAACCCTTTCCTTGCCCTAAATCTGCTATTTTGTTTGAAATCTTCAAGCAACTGTATCTCCACTTAGATGCTGTCTCCAAGTAAGCAACTCAATACACCTATTTTCTAATGAAGGCGACATTAGAGGAGCACATTTCTAAACTCTGATCATTTTTATGTCAGCAGCCACAGCACAGCTTTTTATATGGCTTTTTATTCTGCTACCAGTAGTTCAAACCACACGTGAGATGGATTTGCTTCCATTTGAACTCCATGAAAGCCTTATTTTTAGTAATAGCATTTATGCTCCTACTTCCAGGGATCCCAGGTTTTGTTGGTAATATCCACTTGAACAACAACTAGGAAAATGAGGATTGAAGAACAACCTAAATTTCTGCCCAACCTTTTCTATATGACATAAGCCTACATGGCACATCTCATCTTTGAGCTGCTGCTGAAGCCCATGCCTTCCATTTCCTGCAAATCAATGGAAGGGATATGAGGATATCAGACATGGTTTCAGGAAACATGAACTTTCCTATAGGTTCCACTGATAATTAGCATTATCTCAGGAGAATTTGCTTGCTTAGGGAGTCATAAACATCCATGAAAGCAAAGTTTCCATATGAATCCTAACTTTGGTAAACCATAAATGTCTGTGGTGCGTTTGAATTAACATCTAATTTAATTTTGTGAGGAAAGGATATGTAGGAACTCTGAGCATCTACCAAAGTTTTGAAACAGGAGCACTAAAGGCAGGTTTTTAAATCTTTATTAAGTGGCTGATCATCTCAACTGTCATTTCACTGTTTACTTTTAGGACCCCTGTTTCCAGATGGGGGTCAGGACTCATGAAATGTTTAGGATTTTACATATGATGTGCAGCTGTCATCAGAAGCAGTGTCCTACTCCACTCCTGAGATGTCAGAAATGCAAATATTCCTTTTGAGCTCAAGGGATTCCCAACGGTGTTAGTAAGATCTGAACCTGCTGATAAGTCAGCACCTTCCAGAGCAGGTAAAGGAAGTGAACCGAAGCTGTTCAGTTACTGAAACACTGAGTCCCCCACCTTCCCAAACACTTGCTGTACCTTTCCAACAGGAAAGGGTCATCAGCTCCCATGTTAAAAGCAAACAGAAATTGCTTCATTATGTGAAAAAAACCCCACACTTTTAAGACTGTTTATATGTAGGGAACTCACTTCTGTAACTGGTTTCACATACACACAAGCTTGTTTTACTACTTATTTTCCCAGGGAGCAGCAGAAACATTTAAAATCTAGGATGTTTGAAGAATGGTGTCCTCTCAGACAGGAACTATATGAAACCAGTTTTACCATTCTGTCTTTTCAAAGGCGTGGGGTGTTGTCTGATGTTCTTGTGAGGAGAACACAGGGAAGGGGATACATTTATGCATCTGCAGCATGAAATTCCAGAGTTTAGTAGAATATTTCACATGTATTAAACCACCAGAGAAAATTGCTGTTTAAATTCCATTCAAATGAATAGACTGCATATTAATCACTTTAAATTTCTGCTTGCTAGAAAAGGCCAGAAGCAGGCAAACAGACCACTGACAGCATTGGCTGGCAACCTTTCCTCTTAACCTTACCTGGAATTCAGTGAATAGGTGTATTTTTCATTTTTAGTTGTGTTCTAAATTGGGCTTCTTCTCAACTTAAGCCTCCCCCCAAGCCTCCCACACAGAACCACACTCAAGTACAGATGCAGCCCTTTGACCTCCTCCTCCCCAGACAGAGCAATTTGCCTTATGAGTCAGTTTTAGCTACAGAGAAAACATTTGCAACAAGTGATGTGTGAACTCCTCCATGGCAGGCTTGGGAAGGAAGGGAACCTGCTAGAAAGGAGCTTTCCTGGCCAGTTGTTTTTATGGTCCCACTTGCATCACCACATTTATTTTGTTTGCCATAAAATACATAAGATGTTCTTGTAAGTATCCTTTAGAGCTAGGAAGCTATAAAGTTTACATGGCACACTTTTGGCAGCAGAGAGACAAAAGCCAGATTATAGAAAGCAGGAATGATATCATATGGAAACTGAGGTACTTTATGGATTTGGGAAGAATGGAGATGTATTAAATAAGAAAGAGAAGAAGCAAAATGGGAGACACTAGACCAAGCTTTTAAGTAGAGCAATTATGTGAAAAGCCAGAGCAGAGACAAGCCCTATCATAGCTGTTGCACCTCCCTTCAGCATTTCCCCGAGGATAATTGTGCCTCCCTGAATTTCCATAATGGAACAGCAAACACAAAGAATGCAGAGCACTCACATCCTATGACAGTGGAGGCACACATTAAATTGAGAGGTGTGAGGGCTCTGGGAGCGTTATTAACCTTCATAAAACAAGTCTACATAATACCAGGAAAATTAATTAAATTAACTAGTAAAACTAGCATCAAACAGGGCTCAGGTGCAAGGTCTGACACACTGTCTTATCCAGGATCAACTCCTTTTAGTATGAAAAAAGGATTAAATTCTGGAAACTCATACCTTGACAGATTCAAACAATAGTTAGTTCCCCATAGCTCATAATCATGAAAAAATAATCCACTGCTGCTTTGAGCTTTTGAGCTGTACTTACTGTACATATGTGGGAGACAATCCTAGGAAGGGCTGAACACTTTAGGTTGCATTGTCTTCAAATGAATCATTAAATTCTGTTACACTGTATATGATATTGAGTGTACTGTCATATAATTAAAAATCTATCATAATTCAGTATACATAAGAGACGTGAGTGAACTTATAATTGTGTATTTGGTATCGCAGAGCTTGATGAAATGATTATGCTATAAAATTAGCTTTCCATTGAAGGATGTTCTGAAATTTCAGAAGCTGAAATGGCAACTTTTAAAGTGGGCACCTGCTATGGATCATGTTGAAATAGATTTTTTTTGGAACATTTTCTTGTGTTGCTCAAATATTCCCATTTAAAGAAGCTAGAACTTTAAGCTGGTAGAGTAGCACAGATGATTAGTTCCAATCCCTGCAGAGACAAAGAGCCCTTCTGACTATACCATGAATGAAAGCACGTTCCCCACTAAAACAGAGGCAACTGTCACCTCAACGTGGCACCGTGTATTCTCAGAAGTACTCTCTTCTGTTTCTCCAGCAGTCCTTCTTACAGCACTTCCTTGGCACTCCTGTGCAGAGATACAGGAAGGAAGGAAAAAAAATCAATTTGACCTTTAGGGAAGAAGGAGGTATCAGCACTATTGCTTTCAGTCCACCTGCCCATGGGGAAAGAAGCTTCCTCGAGTTAAGTGAAAACTATTCATAGAAAATAGACCTAAAGGAACATCACTCTGGTTGCAATATCAGGCTCTAAAATATTAAAAATCACCAAAATTAAGGTGAATTGTGTGACATGATGTATTTGAGTGCAGTCTTTAATTATACAGCATAAATGGATTTTCACAAGTTCCACGTTTCACTCACACAGGAGTGGACGAAACTCGCTCAAGACTTGGTTTATTGTTATAATTGTTCAGGCTACAAAGAAGAGGGAAGAAGCAACTGCTTTAGGCACCAAAATGCTCTATATCCCCGTGTCCATGGAACTGAGGGTGTACTGGTGGGGAATTGCACAGCCCATGCTCCCCTGCCAGCAGCCAACCATTGCATAGGCTGTGGCTTGATGTGGGTACCACTATGGATTTCCAGGAGGAAAGAAGTTTCTGCTGTTTATAGCTCTGGCAACTCACAGGAACTCAATTCCTTGCTGCTTCTGCATGGCTTGGAGGTTAACTGCTCCTTCTTTTACCTTCTCATCCCTCCACTCTTCCCATGTCCCTATAGTCATCTGTAAATAATGTTCCGTCCCGCTGTCTCCCATGTTTGTCCTGATCATCAGACACAGCCACATAAACCCAAAGTGATCATGTGTATGAAAACATGAAGTTTCCATTGGAAACCTCCAAAGAAGGCAAAAAGCACCACAATGTCTTCAGCTCTGAGAGTTCATACCCTCTCTCAGTTCAATGCAAAATCTTAATTAAAACTTTGGAAATAACAACAGTCAGCTTTAACATGAGTAATATCTTCGGAGGGAGAGGAACTGTCATAACTAATATTTTGCTATCTTTGTGACAGATGAGTACAGTGGTGGAGTTTCTTGTTTATAACATGAGATATGAACATACTTAAATAATATTTCAATTGCAAGCATCATCCTAAGCTCCAGCTTCTCTGAAGTCCAATTTATTTCCACAGAAAGAACTGCTGTTAGTGCAGCAGAGACCTCACTGACTTCAGCTGAATTCAGCCTCAACATGAGACAGAGGAGCAAATCTCTCTTCCCAGAGAAAGTAACAGTATATATAAAAGGGAAAGCAAATGAAAGAAACTGCAAAAGGGAAAGTATGAAAAGCAAAAACCACAATTAGACTGAGATTAGTCATTAGGGGGTGGTCAGAGCTGCCACTTGTCTCTGAAAAACACTGAATCTTTTGTCTCAGTCTTCAGTGATTATCTGAAACTTGTAACAGTAAAAGCACACACCATGGTCACAGGGAGTGTGGGATATGCTAGCACAGATGGATCCCAAGTCTGATAGCTGGGTAGCTCCTTCTTTTATCACAAAAAAAGGCAAAATAAGTACTCAGAAAAGTGGTTTTGCTCCATTCCCTGTATTCTCCACATACGACTACACCAGGTAGTAGCAGTCACTTATTTTCACTTGTGATCCTACAGTAGTTTTTCGTCATAAGCTTTTTATGTCTCACCAAAGCGGCTCCACACCTTTCATAAAGGGAGGAGATGCAGTGCTGAGCTCTCTGTAAAAAGCTGTTGAATTCCTCTGCTCTTGCCACCTTAGGCTGCAGAAAACATGCCACATCTGCAACAAATGGAGCTTAGGGACAAACTGATTGCAAACACATCGTTCAGATGCATTATTGGGTATTTAAAGTTTAGTCTTTTGCTAATTCAAGAACACAAATAACTAATTGTATTGTGTCTAGCTCAGATTCTGTCTGAGGGTGGATCTTGTGGGGAACTGGGAAAGAACACAGCCTTTGCTTTTATTGTGGAGAGCATTCCCTAAGCATAACGCCATTGGAGATGGCTGAAGGGGATTGCATCTGCTTAGGGAGGAAATTACAACCATAATAATTAGCATCAAATTAGCTGCTGTCTCATCTCGAGCCAGGCAAGCCCATCACATTCCTTTTCCCAACTGCCCTCTGGTGGAAGAAGGTTCTGCAGAACAGCTGCAGGCAGGAAAACCTCAGTGCCGTGCACAGGCCAGGTGAGGGCCTCAGGTGGCTTCCACATCCCTGCTTCATTTCACTGGAAAGTGGCTGTGGATGGTTCGCTTGTGACTTAAGCCAGGAGGGACCAAATCAGGATGATCAAACTCTGAGCAGATGCTCCCTTCCCAGGGGCAGGAGAACTTTGTGAGGCCAAGCTAGAGTGGTGCTGCCAGAGGTGCTGGGCTCCTGGAGAAACTGCTGGGGCTGAGACCTGGACCAGTTTTGGTGCCTGTGGCTTTGCAGCAGCAGGAGTAGAGGCTTGGGCCAGAGTTTTATCAAGGGAATGACATTTGTGTCTGTCAAAATTATCCCACACCCAGTCTTCCTCCTGCTTAGCCAAGTCACAGGCTGTTGGAAGAATATAGTATGTCTATAAAGGTAGATATACCTTTTATCTTAGAAATGGGGGGTTGCATTGTACATGTTTATTTGGGGGACATAAGAATTGCCAGAATAAAGAAGCAGGAGAGTGGTTAGTTTTGGAGAGGAAGGGCCTGGTTTCCACTGGTGTCATCAGTCACTAGCAGTGCCACAGCTCCTATCCTGTGTCCTCACGGTGCCCTGTCCCCCTGCACCACCACAAAGCCCTGAACAGTGCTGGGAACTGGTGTCCTATACCCACTTACACAACTACACTAAAAAGACAAATGTAGCACTGCATCTCCTCCCTTTTTGAATGGTATGGAGCCACTTCAGCATCGAGACATAAAAAGCCTACTGTGAAGAAGTATTGAGGATCACCAGTAAAAAAGTAACACATCCCCATGTGTTCACACAGTCCTGTACAACCAGACAGTGGGAGCCACATGAAGCCAAGAGGTCAGACAGGGCTTGGGGAGTGGGAGAGATATGGGCTGCAGTACCCTCTGTATTCTTGGCCACTCTTCAGTCACTTCCCACCACACACATTAATATGCATGATTAGTGCTCTTGCAGCCTTTGAATGCAGATAATGAGTTCAAAACCCTGCATTAGAACATCATCTCTTCCATGACTCCCTCAATCACACACACACCCCTGAGTTACCTGACTGCCTTTCCTGCCCAGACAGAGCTAATAACACTCACCCAGAACTGCTTCCCCTTGGCAGGAACCACTTGTGTCACACATGTCCTGGATCAGTAGGGACACTCTCTGCACTTGGCCTAATTAGCTGTAACAGAGGAGGAGACAAAATCCAATCCATGTGTTTGGGTCCTCCTCTTAGTGGAACATGACCAGTTCCACACTGACCCCCACCCAACAGCACTGGTCCTGAACAGCCTCTGGATCTTTAACAATTCCCTGGGTGTTTCCACACTCCCCTTCCCAAATGCATGAAGTCTGGCTGGGGCTGTGGGTAGGGCTTTGTTTTCTTGCCCAGATGGTTTACAGGGCTGCCTTTCTTTGCTCCCTTGCATTTGCACGCACTGGGCATCCCTGGGTGTGCGAGTGGCGTGGGAGTTTCAATGAGAGAGACTTACTGTAGAGATAAAAAGAATTCTGTTTGACATCACAGACTTGATGATGATTTTCAGCAGTATTTCTTCATGATTTAAGTTGTACTGGAACACTTTTCACAGAGAATGGATTTCCATTCCATTACTTTCATAAAAGATTTCAACAAATCTCTTGAAATTTAAAACACATATGGAAGTGTTATCAGTGAAAAAGTAAATCCTATACTTGTCTACCATGCCTTCTACCTGACTAGAGGTGGCATGAGGATGTTCAGATTTTGTCAGGTAGCTTTACAACTACACTATGAAACGATAAAGGCACTTAATGGTTTCTTTATTTCGGTTTTTCATGCTGGCATTATATGGAAGTTTCATGTAAGCTGTGCCTACGCATTGACACAACATTGTTCAAATGTACACGTGTAATTCTGTAACATATCAACAAAATTCCCAGATACATGAAGCCTTTAGACCACAAACGTGGCAAGAGCACTGAGAAAGGAAAGCATATTTTTCACCACATGTTTTCAGCAGAATCAAGGGCCATGACTCAGTTTCCCTTCAGTCTTTTGGAACACAAAAGACCCTGGTTTGCAAGCTGAGCAACAAAACAGACTCAAGTCCCACACTCACGGCACCACCACAATGAGCCCTTCATTAGTTGGCACTTCCCATCAGACTGTTAAAGGGGACACAGGTTTACCAAACAGCTAATCCTTGATAATGAAAGGTTTCCAACAAAGCTGCCTTTCCAGGGAGTCTGGGCACTTTCACATTAGCAACAAGTGAATAGACAAAATGGTTCAGGAAATGTGCCAAACAGTAGCTCATGCATTGAAACACAAAGACCTGCAGTCTTCAGGGAGCTAAAGAAAGAATACAGTAGTGTTTTGAGTTGTTTCTTGTCACCATAATTATTTTCTTCTTCACTTTATTTAATATTATTTAATGAATAGTCTTCAAACTATAGAATATATATACACCTGTCCCTTAAATTTCATTTGCAAATACAAATCAGTCTCTGCAGTGGCATATCCCACTCTCCATGTGAGCCAGGTTTCCTCTCTTTGCTGTGGGCCTCTTCTGGACATGTGCCACTTTTCTTACCATCAGTCCTATGCAACTGTAACACCATCGACAGCCACCCCTTCATTTCCTCAGGGTTTTGTTTTAGTTTGGTATTTAACAAGCCAACAATTGGATCTTTTCCTTCAGGGGTCTATTTTAAGAAGGCTTTGTTTAATCAAATGCAATTAGGCATTTAAGATCCAAGATAAGTATTTTTCCTTTAGAATAGTAAAGGCAATGCATATTATTTGGATTTAGATAAAGAATGTGAGGATTAACACAAAAACATTAAATATAAGGTTATGGAAACAGCTTTTCTTTTTGACAGAAGGACACAGCAAAACAAATTCAGGGTGGCTGAAGAACCAGTTCACAAGGACAGAG